CATCGAAGGCAGGGCCTGGCTTAGGACTATACCTTATATAAAATAGACTATTGATATTAGGGTTCTATAAGGGGTTGTATTGGGGTTATATTGGGATAATGGAAAACAAAATGGAAACTGCTGTATTAGGGTAAGGGGTTAAAAGACGACCGTCAAATTGCACAACAGACGATCGCCAGGTCGCATAAGAGGGATGCTAGGGTTTTAGTCATGCGTTTTTCTCTGTCTATCTACGGGTTCTAGGGATTCAAGGCCCTGAAACCCAGGCTCCGCGCAAGGCCTGTCCTTCCCTACGCGGAACCCAATGGCCTGAGGCTTGACCTCATGTTCTACTACCTGTTGCCCCATGTTGCGCCACTAAACTTGCGGGTCCTAGCATCCTGTTCAAAACTACCGCCTATGGGCCCAGGTATGGCTACTAGCTGCCCCGAACCTTTTAACATCTTCTAACGCATTTAAGCACTCTGTGTCTTTCTACACCCTCTATTCTACCAAGTCATCACAGGCTTTGCCGGCAGCTCATCCACCCAGTGAGGATGCAATCATCCGCCACGTCCCAATGACAGACTGGGCACAGTTTGAAGTATTGGGTTTGTTACTACTACTATTATTACTACTATTATTGTTCTTACATTTCTTGCAATTAGTGTTGTTGTTACAAGTCTCATCATCATTCGTATCACTGTTTCTATGATTGTTACTAATTACTACTAGTACTTCTAGCTTTCAGAGTCAGCTCTAATCTGGAGTATTTGATGCAAGGCGGACTGTCAAACTCCGTTTAGTCCTGGACTTCAGCAGCCGTGAAGGGCTTGACAAAGTGGCAAGCTGCGCATCGGAGTGTAGAAGACATGGAAGCACATGTCTTTGCTACCGTAGCCCGGTCGCTACATTGTGTTCTCCTTCGTTAACGAAGTGCGGATGGACTTGCAATCAGCTTCAGGCGGGTGCAAGCCTAGTTTGGGAGCCTTGACCCAGTCTTCTGGCAATACTGAAGAGAGCAATGTAAGAATGCCAGTAGTAGCTCTCTATTTCTATGCTGCCCGAAGTATCTTGCAAGACCAACCCGGTGCAATGCCATCATCTCGTCGAAAGAAATTTGGGAGTTTCTCAAAAAATCTAGCGTTCCCCTGTATCCCGCCTGAATAGGGATATTGGTGAGATGGACCCTCAACGGGAAAAAGATGATTTTGAGAATTCCCTATGTACCTCGGTTTCAGGAGCAATTCATGTGAAAGGGTGGCTTTTGTCATCTGCTGGCAAAGACGGACTGCAGGATCCCCAAATATTATCATCCTTATTGTAGGGGCCCCCAAAAAGGTACCCCTAATTTTGGGAAACCCCCATATGTATGGGTCCTAAGTTTCAGAAGCTTCAAGTCTTCGAGGGCCCTGACCCTGGGCAGGGGCATTGCTGCATTTTGAGGTATATTGGGGTTATATAGGGGTTGTATTGGAGTATATAGGGGGTATATTGGGGTTATATTGGGGTTATATAGGGTTATATTGAGGTTATAATATTGGGGTTACATGCCTGCTTCTGTTTGGCTTCAGCTGAGTTTGTACTCCGATTACCTTCCACGCATAGGGCTTCAGGATCAGCGCTAGCCACCACTATCTTTTGCCAAGTGCTCCATTCTGCAAGAGCAGCAAAGTCTTTCGCAAAGCTCCGCTAAGAAGAGGAGACCAGTCCTTAGAAAAGCAAAGATTCCACAGTAGAGGCAACCATCTCAGTACAAGTAGACAAGCCTACTGATGCACTACACATCAGCAACACAACCTTGATGATTCCGACACCCTAAACGAGAAGCCCTTAAAGCCTGACCGCATGCTGCTGCTTGTGCGGCTGGTCCCACTTTAGCTCTGTCGGGGCCCCTGCGGGGAATAAGACGAGGTTGGTTCGGGGTTCAGGCCTTAGGATTACTGGGGTGTCCAGGGCATTTACGATCTACTCAGCAATTGTAGGTTGTATCTCGGTTCTACGTCCCCTAGCTACAGAGCCTGGATAAACGCGGCTTATTGGGTGCAATTTCCTGTTTAGGATAGAGTTACCCTGGACCTCCAAGCAGGGGATTCCAATCAAGTACACTGGGTTCTATACGTTAGGGTCTACGGCAAAGGATTCTTAGCACTTCGACCTTTGCATCAGGGACCTGACTATGACCATGGTGCTAGCTTCCGGGCCCTGGCTCGTTCAGCTTGGGGGCAGGAGTGCCGGAATTCCCTCAACAGAGACATATGAAGGTTAGTTTCAGAGGGTCATTGGGAGAAAGCTCTCGACTTCGTGAGCGCACTTGTGAACATCTTGTTTTTGTAATGCCACCATGTGTGGGTCGCAGGCGACTTCCGAAGCTCTAAGCCCTCTTCTGGATCCTTGTACCGGAGTTCAATACGGGTTTAGGGTTTAGGGTTATGTATACATGCAGGCATATATTATGTGGCCCCCATATGGCCCCTAGGTCCTGCTCCCTTTCTAGCACCATGTGTTGGGGGTGACCCTGCAAAGGCACGTCGGCCATCGTGGCCGACGCCCTATTCAAAGACGGAGAGGCTTGTTCTACAATGCTGTGGAAGGAAGATGGCTATCATCACTGTTATTACTATCAGTGGTACTACGAATATGATTACGGTTATTATAAATACTCTTACTGCAGTTATTACTACTGTTATGGTCATTACATGACTCGAATGGCATCCCCCCATTCCCAGTTGGTTCAGAACTCTATGTAATGTCGTTCAATGCGGCAAGTATCATTTTGGGGAACCCCAATAAACGCGTATTGCGCGCGGCAACCTGAAGAGAATGGACTGCCAGGTCTCCACCAAGTTGGCCGGGCTGCAGGCAGGCCTAAAGCAGCCGTCATGTATAAATGTTTTTAGTAGCACGGCCAGAACGCTGTGTGGGCAGCAACGGCCATTGCTTGTGTGAAGATCGCAGAACACAGCGCACCTCCATAAATGCATACAAAGGCTTGTGTCTTTGCTAAAGAAGATAAACCGTACGTAACAGGTCTGAGGTGGCTTAAGGAAGGCCTTCTGAATTGTAGGTCAGCTTCCTGATGCATCGGAGAGCAGCGTTACCCTAGGCACACAGATGATGGAAAGAGAGAGATTTTCAGGAGAGGAGGTAAGCAAGCCTTGTTGAATGAAGCTCAGATTACGGCCAGTTTCTGAGTGAAAGTCTCCTGCGAGCTCCTTCAAGCAAAACCTTCCCAGCAAGTTTAGCTACCTGCCTATGCAGGCACCATATCCCTTGAGTTGGTCGTCAGAATCAGCATTGTCTTCACGAAAATCCGATCAGCCAAATCGGCTTGCAGCCTTCAGGCATTTGCTGGGGTCTAGCGCCTATACCAGGCTTAATCAGCAGCAACAAGCGGTGTTGGACAGCTTGCTACCTGTCCCACTGCCATCTCACGCATGCGATTGCTACATCATCATTCGCAGCTCATCCACAGCAAGCACCAGAAAGCATGCAGCATGTCCAATAGGCTCATGAGTCTGGCGCCGTAGTCCTTGGACATGAAAGTCATCATTACTGGCGGCTTTGGATTTTTGGGCCTGCACCTTTGCAAGAGAATCCTGGCTGTGGGGGAACTGGTCGGCGCCGATGAAGTCACTCACAAAGTGCTGAAGCTGGTGCTGTTTGATGCTGGTTCCCCGCCAAAGGACCTGCCTGACGATTCTCGTATTGAGGTTCGCATGGGGAACATCACGCAAGCAGATGACGTAAAAGCCCTTGTCGACGAGGACGGTATGGTAATCTTTCATCTGGCCTCGGTCATGAGTGGACAAGGGGAGAAGGACTTCGACACCTGTTGGAGTGTGAATGTCGAGGGAACACGAGACTAAGTGGCACTTCATCGTACTTGTTCATGTCACCGTCATGTCACGTATTCATTGGTCTATGAGGGGAAGCTACCTACTCACACGCACATTTTGGGATCCCTTTCAAATTGCCACCGAGGAAATCTTCTGCAATCATGCCGGGCAAGGCAGGGCCTAAACCCTATTCCTATTTGGGTTTGGGGTGCAAGGTGTAGGGTATAAAAGGGTTTAATGTTCTCCATACGCTAAACCTTATGCTTGCTGCTTTCCTTCCCATGCCCTGAACCCTAAACTCCTACATGTACGTAACGCTATATATTCTCCTATACCCCTGTGCATATGCCTATGATCCTACATACCCCTATATATCCCATTCCCTACGCCCTAAACCTTAAACCCTGAACCCAAAGCCCTGAACCCGAACCCAACACCCTAAACCTGACGCCCTAAACCCTGAACCCAAAACCCTACATATCCTATTCCCTACACCTTAAACCTTCTGGAAGGTATCATTTTCTCCTACTACAAGCCCAAAAATGTCCTACATACCCCTATATATCCCATTTCCTGCACCCAAAACCCTACACCCTAAACATTAAATCCTGAACCCAACACCCTGAACCCTAAACCCTACATATCCTATTTCCTGTTGACAAGGCAGGGCTGCAAATTGATATTTGCATCTTCTGGTGCCTGCTTCGGTGAGAGGTCAGAGGGCCCTGAGACTGACACAACAAAGCTGTGACTGGGTTGGCATCAAACGGCAGGGTTGTGGGAGGGGGGGGTAATAGGGCGCTATTATAAGGGATGTATGTATAGACAGTAGTAAGGGCATTTTTGTGAGCCCAACCCCCAAAATTAGGACCCTATAACCATCATATGATAGTCATAGGGTCCCAATTTTGTGGGTTGGAGTTACCATAATCCGTTTATTATATAAGGCCCTAATTGTTTATGAAGACCCGAGCGCAAGCTAGACTGGGGCATGCCGTTCTTCGATATTCCTCAACAATGTTCAAAGCTACCGAACCCCCTGAACTCTGAAATCCAAGACCCTACTGTAGACCCCATAAACCCTCAACCCTGAAACCTAAACCCTAAACTCTGAACCCTAAACCCTGAACCCTGAACCCTAAACCCTAACCACAGTCAAGGTTACCCCATACAAGCTACGGGATGACCAAAGCCTGTATGGAGTTGCTCATCAACGATTTCACACGCCGCAACTTTGTGGATGGCCGGGTTGCACGACTTCCTACGGTCACTTACCGCTGGTTAGTGGTTAGGGTTTTGGGTTCAGAGTTGAGGCTTCACGGTTTAGGGCCTGGGGTTTAAGTTTAGGGTTACTGGTTCAGTAGGGAGTAGAGGTGTGCCCGCGCTTGACCTATGACATTATGATGATGCCGAAGTCCTCCAACCGGTTCCCCGCCAAAACTCAATCCCTCGAGTACTCCCCCTAACCCTCACAGTCCCCCCCCCACCCCCCGAACAACAAAGAAGTGAGTTCTGTTACACATTGGGGGAAATGTGTAACGGGGGGTAAGAATATGATCTACAAGGTTCCTGAAAATANNTATGGTTTCTACTGGGGTTCCAAATCCCTTAGAGTGATCGTCACTAGCCCTCAGCTCCTAGCCTACACAGTACAATGGTGGTTTGCATTGTCATTTCCAGTGCCCTGTATACTCTGAACCCCCAAGCCCTGAATAGTAGCTTCCATTTCATCTCCCCTGTTGTTTTCCGTTTGATTCTCCACTATTTCCCCGAAGTCCTTTACCATAAACCCTGAATCCCCCCAAAAAGGGGAGGAGATTGAGACCATTATCCCAAAATAATATAGTCGTTTGCATTTTCTGTTCCATTCCTGTATATATCCTAAACCCTATACCCTAAAAGCCTAAACCTTAAACCTCAAAACCCTAGACCCTAAATCCTAAACCCCAAACCCAAAATCCCAAACCCTTAACCCTAAATCCTGAACCCTAAACCTTCGGAAAAGGGGGGGAGATTGAGGTCATTCCTCGGCCGGAACCCAACTCCGGTCTTCCTGCGGCCTTCTCAGATGTCCTGCGCGAACCGTTGCGCGGGAGGCCGGCGGTCCTGCGCCTGAAGCCTACCTGTCTCAGATAGGGTTGAGGGTTTTAGGGGTTTAGGGGTTTAGGGTTTGGGTTTCAGGGTTTTGGATTTTAGGGTTTAGGGTGCAGGGTTTAAGGGTTTAAGGTGTAGGGTTTCAGGGTTTAGGGGCCTCGAGGTTCCTACAAGTACCTTCTAACTGTCCTTCTTAGTGGGTCTGTCCTATCTGGGAGTTTCCACCAAAATCTTCCCTATTTTCTAGTGTGCGGCTGGAAAAGAAAATGGAAGCTACAAGATTGCTTAGGGTTCGCAAATAGTAAAGAGTCAAGTGGAAAAGAATATAGGAGATGTAGCGCAAACTAGGAGGCTGGGTTTGTATAGGTGTACGTAAGCTTCCATTTTCTTTTCCATTGTCCACATATAGGCCCATATACATACATACATACATACATACATACATAATCCCCATATAATCCCGACATAACCCTGTACAACGAGGGAGGCCATGTAGGGTGCGACAGGATGACAATAGGCTTTCGGTGTAGTGTTGGCACTTTTCTGCAGGCTTCGACACTTTCCTTCTAGGCCTTTTTTCAGAAACAAGAATCGTCAACCAACAAGCTGACCTTAAACTGGGTTGCTGTTAAGGAACTTAACAGCAGGTTACCATAATGGGTATATATATATATAGTAATTCATATGGTTTCCCCAATATAGCAACTTTAACTAAGTTCCTTAACAGCAACCCAGTAAAGGCCCTGATTCCGGACAACTAAGGAAGCCAGATATGAAGCACGCAGTATGTGGCTACCGGGTGCTGATCAGGAACTTGATTCACTTGGCAAACTTGCCTGCGGCGGCGTTCGCTGAGTCTATCGATCGGTGTATGAACATGCCCGCCTTGTCTGTAACTCTCGAGGAGTCTGGATTGATGTCCAGGTAAGTCACCAACATACAGATGCATTGTAAATAATGTGCAGTAGCATGATTTTCTAAATGGTAACTTCATACATACATGTATACATCTACACACACATATACATATATATATATAATGTGTATACGCTTTCCTCAAGGGCAAGATATGACAACCCAGGATCTGCACAAGTCGCTGCTGGCTGTTGTGAAAGATCCTTCCACGCTCGGAAAGATTAGCTATGAGCCAGATTCAGAGCTCTGTGCCAAGCTGTCAACTTTTCACCAGAACATGGACGCCACGCGTGCGCGCGCATTGGGAATGATGGGTGATAGCTCAGCTGCTGCTATTGCTGCTGACTTTGCCGCTGAGTACGTGGACCCTGCTCTGCTAAAGCCAGTAGTGGAGATTTATGAAGAGCCTCGTCACTGGTTGGCATTTGCCAATGAACATGTCCGTGTTTTTCGCGTGGAGAACCCGCCCGGGGACACAACCCTCATGCACGTTCATCGCGTGGACAGCCTGTATTTCTTCTTTACGGCAGCTTCTGTGCAAGGCACGAAGCTCAATGAGGAACCAAAGGATGATGTCTTAACTTGCGGAGAAGTTCGCTATGGCGATCACGGCAACTGTCTCTTAACCCACAAAATCTACAACAAAGGCCCGCCCGTGATGATGTGCCTGGACGTGGAGCTTGCCGGCTTTCAGAACGAGGCTCCTCCAGCCAAGCGCCCAAAGATTGAAAGCCCAGATTTGCCTGCTGGGCTGCGCTTGACAAAGGAAAGGCCTGGGGCTCGCGTCCATAACTTAGATCTAGCAGCTGCTGGGTTGCTGTTAAGGAACTTAAACTTAGTTAGCATAATGGGTATACGGTATATGTAATATAGCAATTCATATGGTTTCCCCAACATAGCAACTAAAATTAAGTTCCGTAAATCCCTATCTTCCCCCAGTTTCCATTTAATTTTCCATTTTCTTTTCCATTTGATTCTCCATGATAGGGGGCTAAAATAGTACCCTAAACCCTAAGCCCTAAACCTATATAGCAACTTAAATTAAGTTCCTTAACAGCAACCCAGGCTGGGTCATCGTGGTCGGGGCGCATACCATTTCATCGGGCTCTCTTCGTGGTGCACTGTGGAGCACACGTTCAAGGTGGGCTCGGGGATCGTCTCTTGAAACTGGGTTGCCGTTAAGATTGGGGTTTAGAGTTTTAGGGTTTAGGGTTTTAGGGTTTAGGGTTTTGGGGGTTTAAGGTTTAAGGTTTAAGGTTTAGGGTTTAGGGTTTTAGGGTTTAGGGTTTTAGGGTTTGGGGTTTATCCTGGGTTGCCTTTTGAGGGCTTACGGGGGTTGTATAGAGGTTATAAAGGGTTTAGGACAACGTTGCCAGGCTAAAAGAAGATGCGAATAACATGGAAACTGTGGTCATATAGGTTGCTGAGGATCTTAAGTCAAGATTCTATAGACAGACCACTTCAGTTACTTCATGCCAATATTGTGGTAACTTCACTGAAGCGCCTTAAACCCTGTACCCTAAACCCCAAACCTTAAAACATAAACCCCGAACCCTGAATCCTAAACCCCTAAAACCCCTGAACCCCTGAACCCTTAAACATCAACCCAGGAAGCCAGGCGACACATTCTTCCGCGAGGGCCCGGCAGATATGAAGCTAGAAGTACTGGGAAAGCGACGAGACCTCAAGCTGTGGGTGGTGGAATTGCTCTACTAATGGATTTATGCGAACCACATAGGTCCCTTTAATGAGGTACAGGGATACATAGGGTTTGGAGTTTAGATTGGGGTTTACTTTGTGGTATTCTGGGGTTACTAAGGGGTTAGGGAGCCCAATTTAGGAAGGAAGGTGTAGAAGATGGATATAATGGTGCTGCTCAGGGGTATAATATCTGACCTACTCAGACTTACTCCGGCTTCATTCAAGGAGGCCATTTAGGGTTCAGGGTTTAGGGTTCAGGGTTTTAGGGTTTAGGGTTTAGGGTTTAGGGTTTAGGGCGTAGGGTTTTAGGGCAGAGAGGATTTTCGGCAGACCTGGCCATGAAAAGTGCGGCATCAGCAAACTGGGCTGCTGTTAAGGAACTTAAATTAAGTTACCAAAATGGGTTTGGGGTTTAGGGTTTAGGGTTTCGGGTTACCATAATGGGTAT